CCCCCCCCCAGCTGCCCCCACGGTGGTCCCCCCACTCAACCATCCCCCCCAGTCTAAGTCTCTTTTCTCTAAAATATCCGCAAAACATTGCAAGAAAAATGGAATTTATAGAAGGGAGGTTTGATATTCTAGCAACTGAAATTTGCTTTGTGAATCTTATGTCCAGTTTTATCTTTAAATGCTAAACATTGTGTTGTAAATACCTTAGATTTTAAAAATGTCCAAATGGATAGCATATATCCCAGACTATAGATTTGAGTTGCTGGAAGGCTAGGCTAAACAAGTCACTGAGTTGTGGCATTTACATAAATATATACCATGGGCATGCAAGTACTTACTGTAACTGTCTATTCAGTCTATGTACGCTGTTTTTCAGAAAATATGTTTGTAGATGGCCCCACCCACGGACGAATTGTTCTTATTCAACTAAAGCGCGCTAGCTGGTGTGGCAGAATACGAGCACAGTTAATAGACTGAGATACGAGCTATGCTTATTCTAGCTACGTTACCTGCATTCGTCCCACAATCGAATCAGAGGCGCCGGAACCACGGGGCCAGTGCATGGGGGCGAAGAGCTGATGCCCTCGACAAAAGCTAATAATGAATTTATCACCCTGACTCCTGAGTTAAAATTTATACTGTCCAAATTCGGAAATCAAACCTACATTTAAATTTTGCAAGTTTGCGAATGAGATGCGTAACGGGGAAGAATGAGCCCGAGGTAGTCGATGGCGTTGGTCGCTGGTCGACGATTGACGAAGTTCCAAAAAAGTGAAAGAGATGATGAATGTTGCGAGAAATTAATCAACAGCAGAATCATTGCTGTTATCCACAAGGAGTGCATTGATTAAGTTTGTACCATGAAGAGCATGCATAACAAAGGCTTTATAACAGTAGACGAACAACGGCGCTGTTACGTCGGAACCGAAGATATTAATAAATCTAGAAGTTCATACAAAAACAGCATAAATATAACAGTGCCGGTTATATTACGATACACAAACACGATACACAAGCAAATGACGATACACAAGCAAATGACGCAAGTCCGATTACGCAAGTCATTTTCTATTTTATTTTGTTGTTATTATTAAAAATTATTGCATGTTAACAAACGTTTGCTGTGAGTCTGTACATTTCTTCTAGCAACATATATTAATCTAATGAATATAGCCAGACGGCTTGTTATACTGATTTAAACATTGTTAGGCTTGTTTGACAACGGTACAGGTGACAGTGGCGTCTATTTTTCGCTGCCCAGGGTTTCCTTCCGGCCCCCTGATTCGAATACGCTTGTCAAAAGTAATCATTTCTCCCTGTCGGAATATCAATAAGCGCCGATCATGAACGCCTGTACACTCTACAGCGCGCCGCTGAACATTTCGTACTATCTATCCCTCCCTATTTTATGCTTAAACTTCACTCTCTGCTATACCACCTAAAAAATGAAAATTAATATAATCTTAGATCTGATAATCTTTTGCCTGTGCCATTCAATGGTGCCATTCTGTGAGACAAATCGAAAAAATGCTTCATGAATTAACAGCCTCGTCCCCGGCGCTTTGATGTTGGCACCTCGATTCCCGCGCGTGCGTCACGCAACCAGTAAGCACATCAAAGCGCCAGGGACGAGGCTGATGAATTATTAAATACCTTCGTTTGCAACTTTTGAACTTGAATTTTAACGTATTTTGTCCATATTTATGTATAGTTTTTTCAAACTATATCGAGAAGTTGTGCGACTATAACCTACAGGAACTCTAGATCTTCCTCACAGTCTCATGTATAGTTGTTCAAAAAAATAAATCACTGCAGGTCGTATAGACATAGATGGATGCCCAAATGCGGACTGGTGCGAAGTGTAAAGGATCTACCCGAATATTTACTACCAAAATTGATCATGATTAGTCGTGAACATGTTGGTGCACCAACAAATAAGTTCCATTCACGGTCGATGGCCGTTGTCGGTTGAACTGCACGAGGGAAGGGATCAACCTACTCTGGTCTTCTCATAAAGGCCCTGCTAGCAGAGTATCCTACTCATGAGTAGATTAGATAAAGCAGTAAATGCTCAAGGAAGATCAGCCTGCAGATTCATATTTACCTGAAATTTGCATCATGAGCTCATGCACCCGTTGACTTGAATTTATTTTTTGAATAAAAAATATTAAAAAAAGATGGTCAAGTTTAGATTAGGGTTAGATTAGGGTGAGATTAAGATTAGATTATGGTTAGGTTTAGAGGTTAGAGTCGGGGTTAGATTAGGATTAGGGTTGTATCACGAATTTATTGTATAAACAAGACGCCTGCTCAGGCGTTTACACCGTAGATGGTTTATTTATTTATTTATTTATTTATTTATTTATTGTGCTTCGCTTCCAAATATCATACAATAATTGCATACAAATCGTAAACCGCAAATTTTATTCATATAATAAATTCACGGGTTAACATTTTATTCATATAATCAATTCATGCATGTTGGAAATTTACTTACAGGCAATTATTGGGTATAGGGTGTTGTTCTCCTCACGCATCTTATCTGATACTGTTGGGAAAAAATCCTGCGACATGTCAGTAATGACCTTTTCAAATGCTTTGTTTCAGGAAAATGATGCAACGCATGTCATGTCACGAATCACCATGAGAAAGATACTGTACGACAGAGAACTTGACAATGGTTGTTCATCCCATGAAACTGGCGTAGCAACTGGTCTGCTCAGTGTTTATCTTCGCTGGTTATTACTTAGTAAACTTGAAGTCTGAACTGAATTAAAATTTAATGATTAAAATCTTACTCTGCCTCATACATGTGTAACATTTTGTTATATACGTACTTTGTAACTTAGTGTTCATTTCATGGAGGTTTCCGTATTATGGTGAAAGCGAGGGCCAAAGGCCCGAGGAAATTTTTAAATTTAGAGTCTCTGAAATGCCATTTCCTGGACTTTGGGGGAATATTTAACAGAATTCTGATGGTCAGAAAACAGCGTTTTAGTATGTCGGAATTTACAATTTAGTAGTACTAAATGGGCGAAGGCGTATTTAATTAACTATATATTGAATAAGTTGCCGAAAAGTGGGGGAGGGTGAATTCAAAAATCTGGGCGCCTTTCCTTTCGCCCCCCCCCCCCTCAAAAGAATTTTCCGCGCACGTTTCGCAATTCCAACATTCCGGAGCCTCCTCTGGGCAAGTTGGGCCCTCTTTTTTACTTTTCTTTGGGAGTGTTACACCTCCCCACCCCCAGTAGTTCAGGCCCTGTGCACATCTATTTGTTTCAAAACTTCAGAGAAGAAAACTCTCATTGGTCCAGACAAGATTTCTGAAGACATGTTTCCAAGTTTATAAAGAAGTTGTTGGGAAGTTTGCTTTGAATCTTAGGTTAACCTATAGGGTTAATATTAATTAAGCTAACCGGCTTTTGAACAACCGGCCCCAGGGGTTTGTGTCCTTTAGGAAGGGGATGTCCGTTTAACCTGGGATAGGGAATCATTTAAGAGGAGATTTATTTGTATGTTACGTAACACGTGCTCAAAACTAATGCGTATAATATATCACTTGAGGTTATGACTAAATTCAAAATTTTTATTTTTCGATACGTTTCTCAATCGGCAAACAAACTTAAAAAGTATGTTTAGTGTTTTATCTGTAAAATAATGCTAAAATGAAGAGTTTTAGATGATACGCCAAAGAGAAAATGATGTCTGAAGTTCAGTAAGTTTTGCTTATATGGGGTTAAGTTAAAATGCGGAAGCGGATGCGGAACGGATGGGGTTAAAATGCGGAACGGAATTTAACCCCATATCCGTTCCGTTCCGCATTTTAACCCCATCCGTTCCGTTCCGCATCCGCTTCCGCATTTTAACCTAACCTGTAAATATGGCGTCAATTTTAAAGCAACATTGATAATTGTATTTTAATTGACAATTTTTAACTATTATTTTATGTTTCTCAACCGGAAGATGCATTTAAAAAGGTAGCTAATTCTATAAATTAGAGAATAAAGCTATTAGGGACCGGTTATAAAGTAGAGGGGGGGGGGTGGGCTATGAAAAATTGGGGGTGGGTCACTATTTTTCAACACGTCGAAAAGGGTGGGTCAGGAAAATTTATGCACTGCATTAGGGGTGGGTCAGGTAAAATTATTCACGTCTCACAATTTAATAAATAGCAAATAAAAGCACCAATTGGGAAAAAAGAAAATGACGAAAAAAGAAAAGCTAGTAATAAATTCAGCATGTTTGGCCAAGGCCCAACTTGACAAAGCAATCGGTGAGCAAACGGCGAGAAAGGTTAATGCAAAAGAAAATGTTGATTTCCATGATGATGACGAGGAGACAGAAGATCATGACGACGACGATGACGATGATAGTGACCATGCAGACGATGAAGATGATGATTACAACATTGGCAGTGATAACAAAGATTGTGATGGCAGTAGCGAAGACTATGATGTAGTTCTCCAAGAAATTGGTAGTTCATGCAGCGAAGACGATACTGAAGACGAAAGGGTGAATGATGATATAGAAGTTGTCAGGGACGCCGGAACGATCATAAGGCAAAGGGGGGCGGACCCACAGCAAGGGCACTTCTCTAAAGCAAAACTTCAAAATCTTCCGAAATATTTTTTTTTATCAAAAAATATCGGCGAACCCCCACCCACCCCACCCCCCCCCGTCGCCAAAAAAATTTCGGTCAGTGTACCATTTTAGGGGTCAAAAATTTTTTCAGGACATACCATAAGTGAAATATAAACTGTAAATTGTCTGAATCTCATCATTTTCGGACAAAAACCATTGTTCAAAATGTGATTTATCACGTATTTTTTTAAAACTAAAAGGGCACTTCTGCCCCCCCTGCCCCCCTAGCAAAAGGCAGGGGGGGGCAGCCGCCCCCCCTGCCCCCCCAGTTCCGGCGTCCCTGGAAGTTGTTCAAGAGTTGGGCGGCGTGTTATAATATTTCAATGAATCTCGGAGATTTTTCGGGGATTCTGACTAAACTAGTAAAGAATCGTGGTAAGCCAATGCTGCCAACGTACGCGCACCTATCTACATTACCGTACAGTACATTATCTATATGACGGGGGGGGGGGTCACTAAGATTTCTGCTCTAATCTAGGGGTGGGCCACCTCAATTTATTGTCACAATTTGGGGGTGGGTCACTGTAAACCAGTCTTTAAAAAATCACTTCATAGGCCCCTCTACTTTATGACCGGACCCTAAAACAAAGTAATTTTGAGAGGAACGCCAAAAAGATTTTAGGTTTTCAACACTTTTCATTGCAAATACGTGACATTGAAAAAAGTTGCCTCTTAATAATAATTGAACCATGCATTGAGTCCAAACCGTGAAATTTTATCTAATTTGACAGATTTTGCTGAGGGTTTTGGGAAATTATAATTGCAAATTTTGAAATTACGATTTACAATGTTATTAATTAAACCGGCTGTAAACTCTAATCTCCTAGCGACGAATGTTGATTATGCCGACGGTCTTCACAACTTCCGCCGTCAATTACCTGAATTTATAACAAAGTGGTTGTCCCGTTCGGGAATATTTTATTCAAAGAAATCAAACTTTGGATTGTTTAAATCACTTTCGTTTTATAGTGTTTTTCAGTTTACATGTGAGTAAAACAGTGTGACTGATTTTGCTTCAGATTGTAACACGAGTACTACATTTTTGGTTTGTATGACATACGATACGGAATCGCATGAGCAGATTGAACTGTTCTTCGCGGAAAGTTGCTAATGCTGGGAAAAAGTGCGGGCGCTACACGAAAGTATTTTGAATAGTGACAATTATTGAATCAATTTGATAGCTACAATGTAGTTTATTAAATTCAAACGAAGTGAAAATGAAGTCCGTATTTATCGTGCTATGTTTGTGTATATTTACCGTTCAGCTCGTTCACTACACAGGTATGTGCAAAGATTTTTCTCTCTATGTAATATTAAAGTTACATTAGATTTCGAATAACTGAATTATTCTCTTGTTCATTTCAGTTGCTGCGTGTGATTGTTCTACAGAATGTTCCGTATGTAGTAACTGTACGGCGGGAACGTACTGGTCGAATGGCGCCGGCTGCTTGCAATGTCCTACGGGTTACTAGTGAGTAATAATTAATAACTGGTTAAACTTTGAAGTTTGCTGTTGAGTGGAAAACATCAGTATTTAGTCTTTTAATTTTTGTTTAATAAATTGTAAATTAAAACCAATTGTTGTCAAGAAAATGACGTTGGTTGCAAACATTAGGCAAAATTGGTGATATTACAATATAAAACCATTTTAAAACCACCACACAGACAGATCATCAGTGAAGAATAATTCCACAAACAAGCTTTTCCTCTTGACAGTTGGATACTGTATTTAGATGGACAATTATTTATCAGGCAGTATACTTGATGGATTACGTGTGATCCTTCGGGTATCCCTGTTTGTCGCTGGCAACACTGGAACCCCACATTCACAAATTTATGAGACAAACTATTGTTTCTTTTGCATTGTGATCATTGTATCTAGTCACTCTCCTCCGTAGAGGTTTTGTAGTTTGTTTTCTTTCTATGAGTTTGTTTTCTTTCTATAAGTTTGGATTGTGGGCAGTTGTGGGCTAGGCAGAGAAGTGGGCGCGTGGGGTCCCGGCGAGCTTGGTACTGTGATTCCCTATTATCTCCAAATGTCCATGGTGCCCCCTTTTAACCCTGTGCGCTTGCTTCTAGCCTGCCGCAAGCTCCTGTTAAAGAAAACAAACCACAAATTCTCCAACTAACAAACAGTACAAAGCCTCTGCGGAGGAGAGTAGTATCTAGTAGAAATTGGGCCAATCTGCACATTGTGTCTAGCTAGTGTAAAATGTATTGTGACTATTGTCCAAATAGTTTGGTGAGAGTTGAAAAAAAAAATGTAATGATTGTGGTATATGTACTGAAGGTGAAGTTATATTTTGAGATTATAAGCTGAAAATTTTGCTTCTCTGTTGTGGGCATCGAACCTGTGACCTTTGGTTGGCTATTCCACTGTGGTCAAGCAAAATTTGCAGCATTCCCAGTATGGACACATTCAGAAAGCATCAACTCAAAATATAACTTCAACAGAGTACATACACCACAATCATTACATTCATGATCATAAGACATATAGTTTTACATATATCAACAGAACTAGGCTGAATTCCAAAATATCACCCATGCCAACCGACTTGACCTTGTAGCTCTGTTGGTAGAGCATTGGACCAGAAAACCGGTCCGACCAAAGGTTACAGGTTCAATTCTCACCATGGTCAATCAAAATTTTCAGAACATTTAAAACATAGGAAGATATAACATTTCCTAATCAAGAAATCAAAATATAATGCACATGCTTGTACTGGTCAGAATTTTCCCAAGGGGGCCCAATATTTTGCCAGGGGGGGGGGCTCTGGCTAAAATCCAATGAGAGATAAGGGAGCATTCATTTTTTAGCTGGGGGTGTGGGCCGGAGGAATTTGGGGGTGGGTCAGCCAATTTTGACATGCTTCAAAGGGGTGGGTCTTTTTATAGTTTTGGTATAAATGGAGGGGGTCATAAAAATAATCAGTGAAAAAGTCACCAATATAATTTTATAGAATTTGGAAATATTTGGATGAAGAATGGTAAAAAGGTCTAGAAACTATCAACTATCTCGTCATCTTTAACAAAGAAGCAAAATTCATTTGACGCTCTGTTCACACAGTCCATAGGAAAACATTTCCATGATGTTCGTCAATTGACCTCGTTTTTATCCGTTTTTGTGTGAAAACATGAATGAAAGAAAACGCAGGACCGTAGCATGATTTCAAAATCATGCATGGTTTCAAGGTCTGCATGCATTTCATCATGACCTTTAACAATATTAAGCTTTATTAATTTTAAGCGGCTACATTATCCATGACAAACTGCAAAGAATGAAGATAGTACCCACAGTTTCCTGCAACATATCCTAGTTATCCAATATATAGATACGCGTTCGCCCATTTAGTACTACCAAATTGTCAATTTCGACATATTAAAACGCTGTTTTCTGACCATCAGAATTCTGTCAAATCTTCCCCAAAGTCCAGGAAATGGCATTTCAGAGACTCTAGATTTAAAAATTTCCTCGGGTCTTCAGCCCTCGCTTTCAGCCCCCCAATCAAAAAGAGCTTCCTACGGCCCTGAAACGCTACGGAAACGACACCGTGTGGATTATTAATAGTTAGGATGAGGGGTCGAAAAATTTTTCAGTAAAAAAAATAGGGGGTCATAATTTTTTATCAACTTTTCTCTTGGGGGTTCCAAGTTTTAGCATGGAATTAGACATCAGTTCCTCCGGCCCACCCCCCCCAGCTAAAAAATGAATGCTCCCTAAGAGTTATATATTCCAGCAATGAATCACAAACTGCCCCCAGAATTCTTGCAGATCACAACATGCTGAGAGAAACCCAACAAAAGAATCTGCACAGACAGATGTTCATAGTTGTGAGAAGATGTGTCTCCTTGTTAGTTATAAGAGTGTGTGAGACACCACAACGACGAAAATTTTTTTGTGGAGACTAAATAGTTTGGAGCTTAATATATCGCCATATATACATATTTATGTTATGTATCTCAAGATGGTTCTCAAATAACCTTTTAATTCACGCCAATCAACACCAATCAGGTTCATCAGGGATGTGTTTAAGAGTAGCAGCTTGAAAGCCACATGAATCAGGATTGTCATGAATTGGTACGTGGTCAATTGCGTACTCTTCAAGTTAGGTAAAGAAAGTGTTTTCAGCAATGTGCTGTGTACACCCTTTTTAATTCCAAACTGAACTTTGAGAGGCAATGCTAGAGAGTCGAGCATCATACTGTACGTTGCAGATACATAATATACTGTACATTGCGTTTTACGCCAATGTCAATGACCTAGCAGACATCGTAACTTCATCCTCTGCCACGCCCCCCGCCAATACCTGCTGAAGTGAGACACTAGGTCTAGGAACGAGGTTGTGCCTCGGGACGACACCAAACTGCACAACAGGATATATACAACGTGGAAGCGTAATCTTCAACTTCTAATATGTCATTCAATAAGAGAATATGCAAGGTCCAAAACATATCAAGGAAAGGAAAACCAGTCATGACTGTTGAAGTTGTTGACTTCATCTTTCACAGGCAAAACACAACACGAACATTGCAACCACGGAAGAAACCTTGGAGTGTGGTTATCCTATGTCTATGATTTGTCACGGAAGAAGCAAGTTCAATTACACACCAGATCTTTGGTTATAGGAAAAGAACGACTAAATATGTAAACGCAATTACCACTAGACGAACGATTTATTTGGCTATTGTTCTTCCGCGTCTCGGATATGCTATGCAGGTTTGGGCCCCACAAACAGTAGAACTTCTGAAAGATGTTGAAATAATTCGGAGACGTGCCACAAAGTATATCCGTATTCCTTAATCTGCCATTTCGTTGCATGCGAACTCACATACCCGTACCAGGAAAGACTAATTCAAGTTAATTTAATTCCGCTAACTTACTGTCATGAGTACTTGGACATGGTATTCTTCTTCAAGATCATCAATGGCTTCACTTCTCGGGATAAACCCTTTTTGCCCATGACTAAGAAATGTACGAGACTTACAACATCCTCCAGTACAATCGATAATTACAGTACTGTACATGCAATTGTCGAAAATGGACGTATAATAAACCATACTTGATACGATCGACAAGGGCATGGAATGCGCTGCCAAATGAAATCCCACGCAAATCAACAAACTTTCAAAGCAATGCTAAACGATTATTATACCACTCGACCCTAGTCGCAACTTACGATCCTGACGATGCGCGCACATGGAAAACAGTCTGTGTCGAGGCCAACTCGGCTCACAGTTTGCTTGTTCCTCCATCTTGACTCTTGTTGTTACCAAATCTCTCCCGGAGAATTAATGAACATATAACATGTGACTGATTGTTTGTTCTGCCGTTTCTATATTTGTTAGTTCGTTTGTTTGATTCTTTGTCGTAAGTTGTTCGTTTCAGTCTGTATTCCACCATATATGTTTGTGAACTTCTCTAGTGTAAATAATGACTGTATGTTAACATGTAACATAAGTTTAATATGGATCTGCAGTAATTGGCCTCAGTTGTTGTGGTATTCCTACCTTTGCATGTATAATAATTATAATATATTTGTACGTATAGCAGATTAATCATTCAAAGCAAAGTTAAATATTTGATGGCAAGGAGTCGAGGCCAAGGCAGGCAGACAATTGAGTGGCTTTTTGTCATTGTGAACCGTCAAGTTAGACTTTCCAAGTTAGACTTTCCAAAAAAAGCATGCAGCAGTGGCTATTTTGGAAAGGCATATTAGATCCAAGTTTTTTTTGCTTGGTGTGCATCGCCATTCCGTATGTGAAAAGAGTCGAAGCCTATGAACTACGGGTTGTCATTGTCATTGTCATTGAACATCACCGGTATTATTCAGATTTGTTGAGTAACGCGGCACCAAGTCCATATTCTGAAGCATCAGCTGCTTGAATTACTTCAGGAACGTGGACAGGAGTGGAGGCTTTAACTTTAATAACTTTATTGGAACCGCAATATAACGGAAAAATTCCAACAAAAGGCCCAAAAAGGGAAGAAATGCGAACGGGACGGTAACTACGACCTATGCAAAACGGCCCTTGCAACAAATACAGGGTGAGTAAAAAAAACTGATACCTTCGCGGCTAATTTGAATAACAAAGGTGTCAGTTTTTTTACTCACCCTGTATAGAAAATATGGACACATTGAAACATTGTACAATATATCACATGCAGTACAACACACAACACACAACAAAAGCAGAAAAATCAGACAGAAGCGAATGATGAATAGTAGAATGATTCTACTATTCTAATAGTAGCATGAAGAGAAGATATGCATGGAGGCTATATAGTTGGTTAGCTTGATTAAATAATGGATAATGATGGGTAACCAGCCATTCTCAAACAGCAATAACAATGTTCATAATGAGATATGAATATGATTAAAGTTACAAGAAAAAAGAAGCACCCGGCAATACATTGGGAATCCATTGTGAGAGCAAGAATTGTTACTGATTAATTGACAGCAAATAATCATGAGCTTGAGATTTGGCTCGATTTTTTTACTCTGAGGCGATGAGATTTTTTTTTACTACGAAAGGGATGAAATTTTCTGCAATTTTTAATGATTTTATATAATTAGGATTTTTTTTGGATTTTCGAGATTTTATAAGTTCGGGCTGTAAAAATTGTTTGAAATAAATGTCACAGTTTTTTTTTGTCCTTGATGTTTTCTTATCGTTCTGCTGGACAAATTTAATTGTTGTATTACAGACATTAACTAGTAAGACCTCACCTACCTTAAAGACCTCACCTACCATATGCAGAGGCGCCGGAATATCGGGGGGGGGCGGATATTCATATATTCGTGTTCTGCCCAATTAATTTCTTTTGAAATGGATTGTTTTTACAGTCTGTGAACACGAATATATGAATATCTGCCCCCGCTATTATCGATATTCCGGCGCCTCTGACCATATGACTCTTTAGACTTTATGAGTTTGACACTATTTTAAAAAAATTGAATAGTTATGATTCACTTATCAATATCCTGATGACGAGTAGGAAAATGTTGTATCCAAACATGAATTTGTGATTCATATCAGTTCTGTACTATACCTACTAATCTGAGTTATATCTTATATTACATAACGATATAATGTTATTTATATTACATTTATTGTGCAGCACAATGAACAATTTTTTTATCATTTCAGCTGTGAAGGAGGTGTAAATGCACCAAAGTTATGCCCAAGCGGAACTTACTATGATTTAACTGGTGCAGATAATGCTACGTTATGTAAGGTAAGCGTCGTGACCGCACTACATAGTATTTAAATTAGTAAACGAATGAATTTCGGGTAGTTTTGGACTTTTGGGGCTTCTGGTATCTCTATCACCTAATGCTGGTATTTCTATCACCTAATTCTTCTCTACCTGTCCATGCCGAAGAGATGGATGGACACTCATTCTGTTTTTCGTTGTTCTCTAATTTAATGTGTCATTCTTTCTTGTCTCACACAGACATGCAATCTCAGTACAACTGTTTCTGCATGGCCTTCTATCTGTGCCCCTTGTCCAGCTGGTTTTAACTGCTCTCAGACTGGACCTCCAACATTATGTGGAAAAGGAAAATATTCAATTGCTGGAAATGGTTCTTGTCAAGATTGTCCATCTGGATATGTTTGTCCTACTCCTTCAGAACTTCCCAAGGTAAATACCAAGAAGGCAAGATACTTCTGAGTTTAGTTCAACCTCGGCTTCGGCTGGGAACGTCAAGTGTTTGGCTTGCGAAGATGACGCCCTACAGTTTACTAGAAAATGGAAGATCCGATTTAGACCCAATTTTTCAACAATTCCTATATGTTAAAAGACAAAGAAAGTCCGATTAGGAAAATAATAACTACTGAGTTGGATTTTTTCGCACCTGCCTGTAGATCTGGCCGGATCTGTTGAACCGGTAGGATTCCTGCGAATAGATAATTAGTTTTACGCAATAGATCTTGTGCATAATGACGTCACAAGGCTTGATGCGCGTCCCAACTGCCGTTGCTATGGCAATAATGTCGCTTCAATATGGCCGATATTTTGGTTTTATTTAACTTGAAAATAAGGTCGGTTACACCTTTATTTTATTTCATAAAAAGAGTTCGTTTAGTATTTTGAATCATTCTTTTGATTTTTTAAAAATTCTGTCATGCGAAAAAAATTGTTACGACTTATTACATTTTTAGATCTTGAAAAATTTTGGCATGACAGAATTTTTTAAAATCACGAAAATGATTTAACATATTAAAATAAATCATGTTATAAAATAAAAAAATGGGGCTCACCGACCAAAAATATCTGCCATACTGAAACATTGTTGCCATAGAAGCGGCTGTTAGGAGTAAATTTTTACAAACTCCTTAGTTATTGTTTTATCCAAGTCAGATACTCTTTATTTTTCAACAAATAATTATTGTCCAGAAGTTCATGTCCAAATCAGAAAATCTTCCATTTTTTGAAAAGTGTAGGTAGCCACCTTAAGTTTGTTTCGTTTACACCAATCTACGCATGGTGCTATGGATTTTTTTTTCAGTTGACCAACCAATTACATATTATACATCTCAATGAGCGTACAGTTAAACGTCCTTAACCACGAAGATGGTTGACGGTTGGTCGGTTGGCCTGCATGCAACCAGTTTCTCTGCAGCTGCTAGTTTCAATGCTACACTTTACATAGTCCATAAGAACTTTTTGCGAATTTTCCTCCCAGATACAAACTAAAACATCTTCGTGTTAATAAATAGGTTTGTCCTGGAGGTTTTGAACCAAGTGTTGACAGTTTTCAGTGTGTTCCATGCTCTGCTGGACAGTATGCTTACAATGGTAGTATGGTTTGCCAAGATTGTGCTAATGGTACTTACAGTATACAGGCTTCTACCACATGTACACTTTGTCCACCTGGATTCAGGTATGCGAAACCTTTAGTATTGTAAGATTAACTTCGATTCGTGATTTATGTCTTAACAGCTGGTACAGGACGGTACAGGTACACTGTACGGCTACTGGCACGTGTTTTTGAGTTTCAGTTTGAATATGGTAATATGTGACCTAATATTAAACATAAAAATGGTTATAAGCACTCAAATATTTTGCATCAAAAGCACTGGGCAAACTAACACTTCGTGTTCATTCCCTCTCCAACCAAGGACTCCATCAAAGCAGGCGCATTCTGCAAAAGCAATATGGCAAATTGGCAATACCAATTTTGTACCCAGAGTATTCCCGTTCGCACATTAAACTGTGATCCTACATAATGAAGTTACGTAATAACCCAGTAAATGAACGGGAATTGGAAGCAAGATTTGTCCTAGGACGCATTTTATCCATAAGTGCACGAAGTATTTACGTGACGACCATGAGGTATAGACAAAAAACTACTGTGTGATTGGTAACAACGACGAAACATACAGTACGAACTTTTATTAAAGTGAGATGTATACAGCATTTCTGATTTTAAGAAATACAATGTACTACGTTTCTTTTTGCAGTTGTCAAAATAAAAGCGCCAGTCCAGTGCCATGCTCAGCTGGTGAATACACTCCTGGTGGTGAAATGTCCTGCAGTGATTGTCCGAAAGGATTTTACTGTCCAAAAAATGAATTGTCTTCTCCAATTGCGTGTCCAAATGGCACATACAGTGTATCAACAGGGGCAGTCAAATGTCTAGAATGTCCTCCTGGAATGAAGTGTTTGTATGGTGACAAGTCGCCTCTAGAATGTAACAATGGTACATACAGTACCGGAGGTTCTGTGCAATGTACACCATGTCCAACTGGTTACAGGTATTGTATAGTTTATACTGTAAGAAAGATATTGAAAATTATTTTATGATTGAGTCAGTTTTCTTTGATCGGACTGTATATAGCTTAAAGCCCTTTGAATATCAATTATAGAAAAATCTAGCTAAATCTTTGCCAAAGGTGAACTAAATGGACAAAAATTGTTGGAAAACCTGCTCAATAATGAAATAAGATAACAAACATCAGGATGTATGCTTTATACAACATACATCCCTGGTTCTGAGTATTTGTCAGTAAAGTAGTAAAGTAGTAAATTTGTAGTATTTAGTATTTCCATGTTTAATACCGAACAGTGTTTCATTTTTATAGACACAATTAAGTTATCGCCGAGGTGTAAATTTATTTACAATAATTAACATAAATTTAACATCGTCCTCCAACTATACTACTTAATATGCCCTTCAAATTTGGATAGCTACTTGGACGGCAACCCATATACAGTTTTGGGTTCCTATTTACAATATTTGGTGATTCCAGGTTCAGACTCAATATTATCGATAAGGCGGAATTGTTTAAAGAACCGAGAATTTTGCAAACAGCAAATCTCTAAGGGAGCATTTAAAATATTGCGCAAGAAGTCAAGAGACATGGAGATGACCATTTTCAATATTGTGTGCTGGCAACAACTGAACAAACAAACTTCTATTTTAATTTTTTCTAGTTGTGTAAATAAATCCGCAGCTCCAATTCCTTGTGAATCAGGATATTATTCTCCCAGTGGGGTGATGGCATGTGAAAAGTGTCCTCTTGGTCACATGTGTCCTAAGGTGGAATCAACGAGTCTTCCTATTCTTTGTATAAATGGCACATATTCCAACATCACTGCATCTACTGACTGCAAAGTTTGTCCTGCTGGATATTCATGTCTTGATCCTCGTCAAACGCCTGTCTCGTGTATTGAAGGATTTTATAGTCCCTCAGGAATACCACAATGTTTGCTTTGTCTTCAAGGTCACAGGTAAGTATTCATACATTGCTACTCACAATGGCAATCACCTTTTGACTGTTTGGGAAAAGCACCCATTGATGCACAATTGGTAATTTTTTGGTCACATCTCTTCCATATCGCAAAGCACAGAAGGGTTCCTTCATATAGTGTTCCTTCATATACTGTAGTAAGTCAATGTCTGGTATGGAAAGACTGGTATTCTAATAAACGCCCTGAGCGTTTATTTAAATAATGACTTCGGAAGGGGACGTTGATAAGATAGAGGCGTAAATCATAAGAGAGTGGAGTTTATTTCAAAAGTTCATATAATATTTATGGGGGGGGGGGCGTTTATAGCCAGCAGAGCTTTGGCCGTATTTCTGGGGGGAGCTTGAGGGCGGACCAGAGTGAAATACGGCCAGCTAACATTCTAGATTCTATGCTTTTTTGTATTACGCCCACAAAGTTGTTTATTTAAGAGAACCAATCACAATGTGGGCTATAAATAGTGAGAAACTAAAAATAGCGTGAGAAACTTCGCATTGACATTGTTTACAAATGTAACATGTTGCAATTTATAAGTAAACTGAGTGGTTAAATTATATTTATTGTATTGAAACGTTGACCACAAATGTTCCGAACTTCGTTGCGAAGTTTGCAAGTTCATATTGGAATTCACAAGCCAATTTGGTCCCTGAAGTAAAAGAAGCCAATCAAATGCGTCGTTTACAAATTGGTTTGTGAATCTCATTATGAACCGTTTGAACTTCGCAACGAACTTGCGAACTTCGCAACGAGGTTCGGAACATTTGTGTTCAAAGTTTTGTGAAATCGACTGTAACATGTCTTCCAAAAATACTCCAAAGAAACTCGCAAAACCAAAGCTTTCGAGAACAATGCTGAACAAGCGCACTTCCATCGAGCGTAGCCATATTTCCATTATTGATTAATATTCGACCTGTCAATCAAAGCGGCTCTCCAGCCAATAGGAATTTTGCGTCGCTCAGACGACTAAAAAATACAAAAAAGCATAGAGTGTTGGCTGGCCGTATTTCACTCTGGTCCGCCCTCAAGCTTCCCCCGGAAATACGGCCAAAGCTCTGCTGGCTAGGGCGTTTAATACAAATTTTTGCAAGTTGAAGGGGGCGTTTGTTGGAGTGGGGAATTTATTAGGTATTATGCGCCTATTAGAATTATATACGGTATATACGCATTTTTGAGAGAGGAATTACTTTGTATTAAACATCCCGAAGAGTACAGTCTGCTTCATACAAATACATTGCTGGAACTTAAAATTTGGAGTAATAATCACAGCAGCCACTCAATCTGAATAGTTGCTACCTACGCCGCCGACGCTGGACCCCTAGGTTGTAGATTTTCATTGTATATTTTGTTTGTTGATAGCTGTTCCGATGGTTCAAAACCTCCCAGTATTTGCCTAAAAGGAACATATTCTACTGCTGGAAAAACAGCATGTACTAACTGTTCGAAAGGCTTCAAGTGTCCATCTGATGGTATGGATACTCAGACTGCTTGTGGAAATGCAACGTATGCTAATCAACCAATGTCTGTTGAATGTCAAACTTGCCCGGCTGGTTATGCCTGCGCTAGATCTGATCAAGATCCTGTAGAGTGTAAGAATGGAACATACAGTCTGGAAGGATCGTCTGAATGTGACATTTGTCCTGCTGGACACAGGTAAGCTCTATAAGATATATCTGTATACGTAGATTGTGCCGCGAAATATTCGTTTCAAATTTGGACCTTTCAAGTGTTGCAAAGTCAGCTGTAGTACATATACGGACAAACCGATCTGGTCTTTTGAGGGTGTGTGAGTACTGTGAGGGTGTGCGAGGTGATATGAGGATGCTGAACATATTCTAATGAAACAAAGTCAACTGAATGTGAAACATGTCCAGCTGGATTTTCTTGTCCAAATGTTGATGAAACTCCAGTGGAATGTAAGAGTGGATATTATTGTCTGGGAGCAACAACACAATGTATAATGCATCCGCCATAGTGTGGCTTTTAGTTGTTATTGTTGTTAGTAAAGATCACATGCGCCTGCGATCTTGTTCGCGCCTAGGCGACCTTTACTTCATGTTAGTATACTCTTGTGGCTTGTCTTGGCCTCGTTGTTGTTTTATTCATAACATAGTATTAAAGACTACCATTTAAAGTCGTCGTTTTAGCTTCGCTGTCGAGTGCCCTCCTAAACATTGGCGTGGTGGCAGCTTCACGGATTATAAAGAACCCGTAACGTACGAAAAGTGTACATCAAAGCATAAATAAGAGGAAAAACTCATCGTATAGATTTACCAGTCAAGCTTTCGACAAACAAAATGGCGGCCGTTCGAGCACCAAAACAATGGTCTCTCACAACGACTGAAACAATAACTTCCATAGAGGCTTGGGAGAACAATTTAAAATACATCCTATCCCTAGACCATAATTTTGCATCGTTCCTCACCGCTGGTGCTACTTGGCTAAAGAAAACCAATGCCTCTCCTCTCCGCGGTTTTACCGACGATGATGAGGACATTCCCCAGATTCAACGCCGTACCGCTGCGCAAAAGGTGGCTCATCTCGAAATGATGCTTGGCCAAAGTACGAAATTCGTCCTCCATCAGCGGTGTATGGCAAGCCATTCGACAACATTACGGCCTGCAATCTACTGGTTCCCGCTTCTTAGATCTAGCTAATATCAAGGCCAAATTAGACCAGAGGCCTGAAGACCTTTACCAATGCTTGATGTCCTTTGTTGAAGATAATTTATTAACAGCAGCAGGCGGAATAACTCATCACGGAATAACCCCAGAAGCTGATGAAGAGCTATCCCCCTCCCTCGAAAACTTTATTGTAGTTACCTGGCTCCAACTCCTCCACCCAGACCTTCCACGTTTGGTTAAGCAAAGGCACGGTACAGAGCTCCGTTGCCGAACACTGGCCTCTATAAAGCCTGAGATATCTCAAGCCCTCGACTCTTTGTTAGAGGAACTACGCACCAGCGAAGAAGCCAAAGTTCTGCGCACAATCCACCCAAGCTTTGGAAGACCACCCCGCATCGACAACCGCCCACCTGCCTCCAACCGCCCATACCCCTCAAAGAGCAAAACGACATACAAGCCTCGTTCAAATAAATCCTGTGCACTATGCCTCCAAGCTGGCCGCCCCGACTATCGCTCCCACTTTTTAAGTACCTGCCAATACCTGCCTGACTCAGATCGTCAGTTTATGGCCCGAGCACGCCATGTTACAGATATCGAAGATACCCAAGAGTATGAAGATAATCATCCCGATGACAATTATCCACCCCCTCAGAGTAATTGTGACTGCGATCATCCCATCAACCATCGCTCAGCTACCTGCCGTGTAAATATTACACAATCTCCGTATCTCCACGTCTTCTACAATCAACACCCGCTTCGCCTTACTATTGATACTGGTGCAGAGACCAACATGATAAAGGCCTCCCTTGCCCATTACATCGGTTGCCCAATATCCAAGAGTTCACAACTTGCGTTACAAGCTGATGGTCGTACTCCGCTCTCTATTGTCGGCGAAACCCGCCTGTCATTGTCCCGTAATGGCAAGACCCTTACCCTCGAGGCTCTTGTTGTAGAAGACCTTGATGTTGATATCCTCGCCGGAACACCTTTCATGACCTGCAACGACATTGCTGTCCGACCCGCAAAGCATGAAATTATCATCGCTGGTTCTGACATTGTACCCTATGGGTCCCCCAATAGTTCCTTCAAATACCATGTTGTCAGATATTGTCATGTATTGCGTGCACCTCCTACGAACACCACTATTTGGCCTGGTGGTTTCCTTGAGGTTGATATCCCTATTGACTTTCCACCCGATACCCAACTTGCTGTTGAGCCCCGGGTCGATTCTACTTCGTGTCAATCAATTAAGTCCTCCCATGCATGGCCCCAACCCGGTATTCTTGAGTCTGTCGGCAGAAAGCTTAGACTTGTCAATTGTTCCACCGAGCCGATCTTTATTAAAAAGAACGACCACATATGCCAGGCTCGCCTCGTTACAAGCAGCTCCCCTCCACAAACGCAAGTGCCCAGCTCACCAGACCTTGGACCCCCACCCCTACCCCTACCACTCCACACTCCTGGATATCATTCAGAGCAAGTTTCCGTAGATCCTGACGGCATTTTCTCACCTGACGAGAAGCTCAACACTCTCTCTCTCTCTTGAAGGAGTTTGATCGTGTATTCGATCCTGTTATACCCGGGTACAACGGCGCCGCCGGTCCCATCGAAGGTGTCGTCAACATGGGTCCAGTTCAACCCCCCCCCCCCCAGCGAAAAAGTCGTATGCCCCAGTATGCTCGCGGTCAACTAGAGCAATTGCAGACTAAGTTCGACGAACTTGAACAAACAGGGGTGTTTCAACGTCCAGAGGACCTAAACGTTGTTGCAGAATACCTGAACCCTTCCTTCCTCGTCAAAAAAAAGAGTGGTGGCTTTCGCCTGGTTACCGCCTTCTCCGATGTTGGCAGATACAGTAAACCCCAACCCTCGCTAATGCCCGACGTCGATTCCACTCTCTGCAAGATTGCCTGCTGGCGCTATATAATCGTTTCTGATCTGTCTCAGTCGTTTTATCAGATACCTCTTGCCAAAAGCTCCCTCAAGTACTGCGGTGTAGCTACACCCTTCAAAGGCGTCCGCATTTATACCAGATGTGCCATGGGAATGCCTGGCTCGGAAACAGCATTAGAAGAGCTGATGTGCCGCGTCCTCGGTGACCTCCTCCAAAATGGATGTGTCGCCAAAATCGCTGATGACCTCTACTGCGGTGGCAACACCCCTACAGAGCTCCTATCCAACTGGAGAAAAGTCCTGACAGCCCTAGATAAATGTGATCTCCGTCTCGCAGCCAAGAAAACCATAATTTCTCCTGTTTCAACTACCATCCTTGGCTGGATATGGTCTCGCGGCTCAATTCGTGCCTCTCCCCATCGTATAGCAGCCCTCTCTTCCTGCACCCCTCCAAAAACAGTCCGAGATCTTCGCGCTTTCATTGGATCCTACAAAATGCTCAGCCGTGTTATTGAAGGTTCAGCTTCCATCCTCGCCCCCCTCGAGAGTATTACCGCCGGGAACCAATCAAGCAGCCCTGTGGTTTGGTCTGAGTCTCTTACAACCTCCTTCTACCACGCTCAAGAAGCACTTTCATCCAACAAGTCCATTGTGATCCCAAAACCTGAAGACCTACTTTGGATTGTTACTGACGGCTCTGTGAAGATGAATGGTCTCGGTGCCACACTCTATGCCCTTCGTGACAACAAATTGCTTCTTGCTGGTTTCTTCAGCGCAAAGACCAGAAAACATCAAGTTACTTGGCTCCCCTGCGAAGTTGAAGCACTGTCCGTCGCGTCCGCCATCAAACATTTTGCTCCTTATATCACCCAGTCCAAGTTCCAAACCTGTGTGCTGACCGACAGCAAACCCTGCGTCCAGTCTTTCGAGAAACTGTGCCGTGGCCAGTTCTCCGCCAGCCCACGTGTTACCACCTTCCTTTCCACCGCCAGCCGATACCAGATATCTCTCCGTCACCTTTCTGGCTCTGCCAACCTGCCATCCGACTTCGCAAGCCGCAACGCACCACCCTGTGATGACCCTCGTTGTCAGATTTGTTCCTTCATCTCTAAAGCTGAAGACTCTGTGGTCCGCCCAATTTCC